CATCTTCCGAGGCAGGTAGCCACTGGTCATCGGCTTGAGGGTGTCACTGCTCGCTAGGGGGCTTAGCCCTTTCTGGAACACGAACCAGATATAAACAACACCCCCTCCCACCCACCCAGCTCCCTTACACACACACTAACTCTCTCATTCACTCAACAGAGACACACATACACACACACACACACACACACACACACACACACACACACACACACACACACACACACACACACATATATATATATATATACCCATACACACAGACACACATACGTGCACACACATGTATACACATACGTACACACGCACGCACGCACACACGTACACGTACGTACTCACACGTGCATATATAGTCGTCCACACACACACACAAGTACACACATAAACACACAGGTACACTCCCAAACACGCCAACTCACACTTTGACTCGTAGACAGACACACAGTACACGCGTACACACACATGCACATATTATGTACCTGCTCACACACGTAAACACAGCCTTACACACATAAACATAATATACAGACTGTCACACACAGTAAAACAGCAACTTCCATGCAATTAATCTGGTGGCTACATTAAGTATATATATAACACTATGAATACTGTAACAGCACTGTTTGCAAGCTTCTGTGTCTTCTCTCATTATTAAATCAGAAGGGAAAAAAATGCGTTTTAGAAAAATGCTCAGAAATCCAGTAACCCGATTAGACCCCCCAAAAAAACTACCGATGCGCAAGGGCAGATGGTAGTTTTCATAATAGGAATACGTTACTGCCAGCTTCATAAACAAATGGTCGACAGCAGCAGCGGATTGATCATGAGGTGTTGTATACCTAAAGGGGACCCCCCCCCCCCCCCCCCCCCACATTTTGGACCGTTTAAAGACTTCGACGACAAAGAATGATGCTTTTTTCTGTTAGTGTTAGGACCTGGTTTCGATTAGCGGCTAAGCATAGAAACATATTATTTTGTTTTCTATGATGAATCATACGTTGCTTTCCGTCTTTTTTTCTGAAAATAATATTTGGTTGTTCTGTCTCGTGAAATAATATAATAAAAAACATTTTGCTGTTTCCGTGTAATAAATATTTTTCCCCACGATAGGCTTAGATCTACGTACGACCTTTAACCCCCGAGTGTAAAGTAGGTTCTATACATAGAGTTACCTCCTTTTAAACACATCTATGGTTCTATATGAAAGTTGATTGGCTTGACGGTATTTCTATTTTTACATTAGTGTTTTTATTAATTTCTATCGTGACATCGGGGAAATGAGCCCTGTCTTCCTCCCACGATGCCACGACGTACTCGTCTGGCAATAATTCATGATTATATATCATCATCAAAAAGTGCCAGATCTGAAACAGACACAGGCGAGAATGATTCGCCTTTCATTTCCTTTTTATTTATTGTGGAATATGTGGCATCTGATGTAGGGCATAACAATTATATTGTATGTAGGCCTCTCCTTGATATCTAAAGTGGTGAACTTGTTTGATCTCCAATTGTAAGAACCCACGCAAAGAAAAAAATAACTGATCCAGCTCAACTTTGAATAGGTTTCACAAAATTAATAGTTTTTTTTCTCCCAGAAACTAAGAATAGAACGGTAAATACATGTTTCTCCTGACTACCTGAAAGCACTTCAAAATAACTGCTCATGGGTTAAGATGGATGATATTAAATAAGATACGATTTTATTGATCTCCACAAAGAGACAATTTTTGCGGTAATGTGAATATATACATTCACAAGCAGTCGTCAACAAACACACACACACACACACACACACACACGCACACACACACACACACACACACACACACACACACACACACACACCCACACACACACCCACACACACACACATACACACACACAAACTGAAACACAAACTGAAACACAAACACACAAATCTTTTACTGAACTTGTGAAAGAGCGGTATTCCGTGTAAATGGAAGCGATGAGTCAAGTTTGACTAGCATTTTAAGTGGAGATCAGCCTCTCTCATTCTCAAGGACGCAATTATCATTGTGTGCTTGAATCATTGATTTTTGAAGTCTGAAATTTCCTGGAGATGCTTAGTGTTTGTCATACACTTTCAGTCTAGATCATAAACTTTTATCACGATATTTTAGATCGAGCATTCTGACGTATCTCCGGTTCTTTATGGGACGCGTCTTTACAGTTAAATGAACGGTAAATTATGGGAGAGTGTCGACTGTGGCGAGACAGATCTTATGATAGATCTAGTTCAGAAAACAGCAATTGTTGTAAAAGATGAATAACTTCCCTAGAAACAATACACGTTTGGCTTCATTTGGGGGTAATCATCATCATCATCATCATCATCATCATCATCATCATCATCATCATCATCATTAAAGTACTACAGTCTATACTCGTATGATCTGATTGTACTGCAAGTGCCGTAAAACTCTTATTAAAACAAAGAACATATTTGTACAGGTCAAAAGACTGTGTCCCAAAAAAAAGGGAACAGGGTTCCTTAATAAAAACCCTACAGTGTTGAAACGAGCTATGCAACTACTCTAAACAACTAACTGATATAAATAGAACCAATTTGCACAAGTCAAAAGATGCCAAATGACCGACCAGATCGTTCTAAATTGTCC